AAAAACAGAGAGAATCTTTGTTCCTGAAACATTCAGTCTCTTTCCACAGAGGGGACACATGTTGATGTAGAAGAGACATGAAGAAGAGGGGACACATGTTGATGTAGAAGAGACAATGAAGGAAGAAGGGACACATGTTGATGTAGAAGAGACATGAAGAAGAGGGGACACATGTTGATGTAGAAGAGACATGAAGAAGAGGGGACACATGTTGATGTAGAAGAGACATGAAGAAGAGGGGACACATGCTGATGTAGAAGAGACAGGAAGAAGAGGGGACACATGTTGATGTAGAAGAGACATGAAGAAGAGGGGACACATGTTGATGTAGAAGAGACATGAAGAAGAGGGGACACATGTTGATGAAGAAGAGACATGAAGAAGAGGGGACACATGTTGATGTAGAAGAGACATGAAGAAGAGGGGACACATGTTGATGTAGAAGAGACATGAAGAAGAGGGGACACATGTTGATGTAGAAGAGACATGAAGAAGAGGGGACACATGTTGATGTAGAAGAGACATGAAGAAGAGGGGACACATGTTGATGTAGAAGAGACATGAAGAAGAGGGGACACATGTTGATGTAGAAGAGACATGAAGAAGAGGGGACACATGTTGATGTAGAAGAGACATGAAGAAGAGGGGACACATGTTGATGTAGAAGAGACATGAAGAAGAGGGGACACATGTTGAAGAAGAGGGGACACATGCTGATGTAGAAGAGACATGAAGAAGAGGGGACACATGCTGATGTAGAAGAGACATGAAGAAGTAGATTTTGCATAATAGGTCCCCTTTAAAATCCTGGTTTTATCAGCAGCAGTTTTCCTCACCTGTTGCACAGTGTCTGCCTCCTTAAGGGTGACATCGAGGTAGGGGGGAGGCAGTGCAGGAACATTTAGAGAGGACTCAGACAGCGGCGGCAGGGAGTGAGTCAGGGAAGCTGCCAATGTAACATGAGGAACTGCTGCAGAAACACTGGCAGTACCAAGAGGCTGGGATGGAAACACAGCTGGCCTGAGATCAGACACAGCAGACGCCGAAGCTGCGGTTGCACATTTGGATACAGGTGCTCCAGTCGACCCATAGTCCTTCTGGTCAGTTATTCTCAAGAGGTTAAGTTGGACATCTGGTATGGATGAATCAGGAGTTTGCTTTATTGAATCCCCTGCTCCTGCATTCGAGTAGTCAGTCCTATCAGAAGCCATTTTTGATAAGGCTCCGTTGATTGCTTTCCAAAGTCCTTCAATCCAGGGGTCCAGGACCACCTCAAGTCTAGAGTGAACAAAGTCAACAGTATCATGCACAGCAATGTAATACAAAAAAAAGAGACTCTGAATGTATTTTCTGCAGAACATACCCTACACCATCATCTGCATAACCTGTCGCATAGAATTGTTTGGCTCCGTGTTCCTGGAGACTACGTTCAATCGTCTTCCCACAGTTGCAGAAATTTGCATAATTGGTGTCTCCTAAAGCTGGAGCAGAGAAAGAGAAACAGATGAAATATTTCTCAAGTCACTGCCTGCTGAGAAGGTAAACACTGCAGAGTAAGGATATACACAGACAGTTTGGAAATCAGTATCCCCCATGGTGAAAAATGGATTGAAGAAGAGCTACTTCATCGTAGAATTTACCTAAAAGTGTATAGCAAAGGTGTTTATAGTGGTCAGGGGTCTTCTTCTTGATGCTCTTTACAAATTGGAGGGCATTGTCTGGCGGTTCCCCATCTCCAGTGGTAGACACAATAAAGACCACGGGGTCCTTCTCCTTCTCCAGATTGTACTGGAACCAGTGATATGATTATTCAGTGAGTGATGTTTCCTCTAACTGATGTGATATCTCATTATATCTATATAAATCACAAGGCAATATCACATTTAGTTTTAGTGAGTTTTAGTGAGTCAACAGCCATGCATGGTCTTAAACGGGTTTTATAATGTGCAAATGCTTACCTTTTCATTCTGGTTCAAGCAGCTGAGCTCAGCCACCAGTCCATGCTCCTCTGCCTCATCGGCTATTCCCTCTGCTATGGACTCAGCTTGGCCCTTCTGAGACCCGTAGAGAACCACAAACCGAGGCTTTGCTTCACAGGGCATGCTGGAGAGTTAAAAATAATGTTTTGTAGATTTACACATTTCTTAATAGACCCTTTACATAAGATGTTCACAGTTTTGACTTGTTGGAAAAGCACAGGGGATACTCATAATAACATTAAAGATGGCTTAGTTAGTTCTGTTCAAGGGACCTAGTAAGTTTTACATTCCCTCTTGATACGTTGAGTGTATTTTGATGCTGAAATTGTTTTTACTTAAAAGGTCCCATGTCATGCTTTTCCGGTTATTAACCGCCTCCTTGTGTGTTATGAAGGTTTTTATGCTGCCCCAGAACGCCTCGTTGGAGATTTCTCATTGTGCATTGTTTGCTTCCTGGGTTCTGTGACGTGTGAACACCCAAATCAACAACAAATGACCGGATTGGCCCAAATGGACCAATCCTTGGAGCACCTCACACACCAGGATCCCTTGGCTAACTAACAGGGAGTCCCATTGACTTGCATAGAGCTCCCTGAAAGCTGGTAATAGACGAGTTGGGATGGCGGAGAAATGCTCTCCGCAGACCCATTCTCACAGCGTTATAAACCTTTTTCTTACTCAATATCAAGCCACACTTATTGTTTTTACTTCGGCTGTGAGTGTTTGTGTGTGCTCAGGATGAGTTTCGCTGTGTCTCGTTATACCGCCGACCCGGAAACCTGTCCGCTCCTCGCAGCAACGAGCCTCGCAACGTCCCGATCAATCAGAGCACACTGGGCAGGAGCTCCAACAAGCCGTTTAGGACAGAGAGTGAATACACATACTACAGAGATGCTGTATGAGAAACCAATGTGATTTTGGAAAATTTCACAATTTATATCTATTCTAGTAGACCTCAACAATGGAAATACGATCAGTAGAAATGGCCATGACATGGGACCTGGATGCAGGGTATTATCACTTTTACTAGAGCAAATGTCTGAATATTTTAACAAAGCATGTTGCAATAAAGGAGGATATATCCTGCCCTCTTCCCACTGTATAGCCAAAGCATTCAAGTATTCAGGTCAAAAACAGCATTATGAAACATTGTAATAAGAGGCACAGAAAGAAACATAAAAAGGTATTAACAACACAAGGCTGGACAAAAACAACACCACAACTGTAGAGGAGTAATAAATCAAGTATTCAGCTGTCAAATTGTGTTTAATGGATCTCTTCTTACCTAGATAATGCAGATTTTAACAGGTTACAAACAGGCTGCCTCAGAAAAGCCTTCACAACAGCTCTGAACACCACCATATAGAACTGGTCCCGGATATTGCATCAGTTGTTAACATTACGATACCCGAGCACACGATGGTTTTGAGAATTTTGTCTATCGTTCTCTTATCTAATACTAAATCAATAACACTTGCAGCTAAATAAATGTTAGCATAGATAGCGAACTGACAAGTAATAACTCTGACAACAACTCTGACACAACTCTGACAAGCCCCTTTGGATGTTGTATTTTAGAACTAAACGTATCCCTTTTAAAACAAAGCAAAATCCCGAAGATGTATTTAGAGGTGGATGTAAAGAAAGTTTAAAATATTTTCTACCTTTTGAAATCCACTCACTTCACTCGTTCCCATGCATCTCCAGGAGGAACTAACGCGAGATCATGGCACACACGTGATCGGAAGAAACCACATTACAAAAAAACACATTTGTACTTCTAACATTAAACTATAATCTATAAAACGATTGTATCGTTTGCGGAACAATTTCAATACAGTTCAATGTAAAGTGTTTATTGATTATTGGGGGGAAAGGGTGTTTTAATGTGTAATAATAAGACCTAAGACGCACTAAGGCTACTTAGCAGTCCTTCCCATGCAGCTTCTCTGGAACTAACGCGAGATCATGATGGGGCAAACGGGATCGGGAGAAACCACCCTACTATATAGTTGTTTTACTTCTAACCTTAGTTATTCTTTATGTAAAACATTTAAATAGTTTTCAGAACAGTCTCAGAACAGTCTCAAAACAGTTCAATGTTATGTGTGTGTTGATTCCTGGCAATAAAGGGAGTTTTAATGTTTAATAATGAAACGTACTTAAGGCTACTTGGTTCCTCCCTCCCCAACTCACGATCCTTCCAGAAGCAGCCGGCAGACTCGTGCTGCTCGCAGTTCAGCCTCGGTCCACATTTCCTTCTCAGAAACTGATTATTTTACATCTGAACACTTTTAAAGTGTTCCAACCGCGAAGTCAAGATGTCCTCTTTGGGGACATTGGCTTTTGATGAGTATGGAAGGCCTTTCATCATCATCAAAGACCAGGACAGGAAGACTCGGCTGTCGGGCATTGACGCACTTAAGGTACAATGGGCTAACTAATTCTGCAAGCTAGCAACATGCTAACTTGCTAGTAGTTGCATGGGGTGGGGCATCATCATACATAGTGAGCCAACAATATGCATGTTGTATACCATTGTGTTTAAATAACGAAGGTTTTTGGTGAAAATGGAACAGACTAGCATTTTACGAAGGATTAGCCAGTCATGCTAGCATCGAGGCCCATGTGCTTTCTCTGACGCGGTGGCTGTTGCTACGCCCAAAAATGTCATTAGTGATGCACATCATCTCAAACCCTTTTATTGGTTTGCATATGGCAACTTAAGTCTGTATACGTTTTTTAAATGTAGAGACCAAGAATAAGATTGTTTTTCTGAAATGTGATTTTGAAATGTTTTGCAGTCTCATATTATGGCAGCTAAGGCAGTCGCGTCAACGCTGAAGACTTCTCTGGGACCAAATGGTGAGTAAAATCAATGCAGTGCACACACAAAAGACTTCCTTAAAAAATGCTAATCATTGTAGAGGCCTTCAATACTGCGTAGGTGCACCGACACATCTTTGCATTTTTATATATATTTATCAGCAATTTGTAATAATACATTGCACTATATTTACTATGTACTTGATTTTAATTGCCGTTGCATTACAAATTCCCTTTTTGTTGTTGCATTATTTGACATGGCATCACGTCATTGCACTGTATTGCGTAGAAGTTATTTTAAATATGTCTTGTCATTTACTTAATGCCTGAATTTCCAGGGGATCAAACGATCTATCTAATGTATTCGATAAGATTCAACGATTTATTAACTTCAAAATGAATAATCAATTTTGATTTTGTCTAGGTGTATGCTCCTGGTTCACAAAATAAAATAACACACAATCAAATTTAACAGCATAAATATCAAGAACAATCTAGCAAGATAAATTAAACATTAGCATAAACCATATCTCTAACAAAGTGAGTTAACCATACATACATTTCACCACTACTTCCCCCCCCAATACTATGTTTACATTTATTTAATAAGTAATTCAAGATCTAGCATTCTCTAAAGAATTTTCTTTCTTTCCAGGTCTTGATAAGATGATGGTGGACAGGGATGGAGAGGTGACTGTCACCAACGACGGAGCCACCATCCTCAGCATGATGGATGTGGATCACCAGATCGCTAAACTCATGGTGGAGCTCTCCAAGTCCCAGGATGATGAGATTGGGGATGGAACCACTGGAGTTGTCGGTACGGGAAAGGGAACGATTCCCAAACTAATTTAAAGCTTTCCTCCAGATCACCTGACATTGTTGAAGCATATTCAAGCGACTGTTTGTCATTGGTCCGGCAGTGGCTCAGTCAGTAGGGGCTTGGACTGGGAGCTGTAGGGTCGCCGGTTCAAGTCACCGACCAGACTTAAAATATGGAGTGTGGACTGGTACTTGGAGAAGTCCCAGTTCACCTCCTGCCCTGCCGTGGTGCCCTTGAGCAAGGCACCGGACACCCCTCACTCCCCTGGCGCTGTACAATAGCTGCCCACTGCTCTTAGTACTAGACCCCTGGTACTCGGATGGGTTAAAAGCAGAGAACACATTTCACTGTGTGTGACTATTCTATTGTCTCACTGTGTTCTCCTCTTCCTCCTCAGTGCTGGCCGGAGCTCTCCTGGAGCAGGCTGAGCAGCTGCTGGACCGAGGAATCCATCCCATCAGGATCTCCGACGGTTACGACCAGGCAGCAAAGGTTGCTATTGCGCAGCTCGACAAAATCGCTGAAACCCTACTCTGCGATCCCAACAACACGGAGCCTCTGATCGAGACCGCCATGACCACACTGGGATCCAAAATGTAAGTCCTGTTTCGATTGGGCTGTACTGAATTGTGCGAACTCGGCAAAGATATTAAAGTTCTGCCGTTTTTTTCTTCTTTCAGTATCAACCGGTGTCACAGACAGATGGCAGAGATCGCAGTGAACGCCATCCTGACCGTGGCCGACATGGACAGGAAGGACGTAGACTTTGAGCTGATCAAGATGGAGGGCAAAGTGGGAGGCAAGCTGGAAGACACACAGCTCATCAAGGGGGTGATCGTGGACAAAGAGTTCAGCCACCCTCAGATGCCCAAGGTACAAACCAGGGGAATGATCCTGTATTTTTGGAGAGCTGAGGGAAACTTGCATGCATTTTTACTTATTTGTTTCTGCTCTAAGATGATAATGCTGACAATTATTTTTTCTTTGTCCTTCCTCAGGAACTGAAAAATGTAAAAATGGCCATCCTCACCTGCCCGTTTGAGCCCCCAAAGCCGAAGACCAAGCATAAGTTGGATGTGACCTGCGTTGCGGACTACAAAGCTCTCCAGAAATATGAGAAGGAGAAGTTCCTAGAGATGATCCACCAGGTGAGTGCTGCAGCCTCTGAAGTGCTGAAATGTAACATCCATACAGGTACATGTGGAATCTAAACACATCTCTCTTTTGAAGGTCAAAAGCAATGGTGCTAACTTGGCCATTTGCCAGTGGGGCTTTGATGATGAAGCCAACCACCTCCTGCTGCAGAACGACCTGCCCGCCATTCGCTGGGTCGGAGGGCCTGAGATCGAGGTGAGATATTTTTCATAAGATGGTACCTTGATGTAGAGTTACTTTTTAACAAAATATACCATGGCTTCCTAAATTCTGTCCATATACGGTCTTGCAATTAAGCGGCACAAGAAGGAGACGTTTGTTGGCCATCAATATTCCCTGATATTTTATATGTAACGATGTGCACCCATTTCTGTAGAGTTGAATACTGAAACTTGGGCAGGTCTTATTTATTAAAGACTGTATTATTGATGAGCTTAACTCATTTACCTTAGGTACAATAAAAACACATTTGGAAGTGTTTAAAAAATATATACATCTATGAACATGTAGTGGTGTTGAGCAAAAAGTATGAAGTCCTTTAATCGTTTGTGCCGAAGTTCAAGGCTTTTATAGTCATGTGTGTGCATAGCTACGGTGTACAATAAAACGGATCAAATAGTAAAAGTAAATAAAATAGAATATAAAAGTAAACAATCACTGGAATAATACGGAAAAAAGGCAGAGTTGGGGAGGAGCCAAAGACAAGTATCATGAAGTCCTGTAATTGTTTGTGCTGAAGTATCAATTGTCGTGTTTCCGCCTCAGTTGATCGCCATTGCCACAGGAGGCCGCATCGTGCCGAGGTTCTCCGAGCTGACCCCAGAGAAGCTGGGCACCGCTGGGCTGGTGAAGGAGATCTCCTTCGGTACCACCAAGGACCGCATGTTGGTTATCCAGGAGTGCAAAAACACCAGGGCCGTAACCATCTTCATCCGTGGAGGCAACAAAATGGTACGTGGGCTTCAAATCTTCACCTGTCCATTCATGATCATCTTATCATTCATGGATCTCATTGGTTGTTATTTTATCGTCTCATTAGATCATTGAAGAGGCCAAGCGCGCTCTCCATGACGCTCTGTGTGTGATCCGTAATCTGGTCAGAGACAACCGTATTGTGTATGGAGGCGGCGCTTCAGACATTTCATGCGCTCTGGCTGTCAACCTGGCTGCAGATAAGGTAAGACGAACCACAACCTGCTAGGGTTGCCAGAAACTGACCATGATCAAAATCGATTATTGGGCAGCCCTGGCGAATAATAATCGATTATTCGACCACGTGTGAGGGAGGGCGGGGTCGGTGTGTAGCGTGCTGCAACAGTCTGCTCTGCACGCAGGCTTCCTCCAAGTTTACAGTAAAACAAACTGGTGGTGTGACCAATGGCCTATTACTATTATTAGCATTAGTCTATATTTTTGGTTGAAACTAAGCCAGAAAAAAAACATTAATAATAAAAATATATATAAATAAAATCGATTTTTAAAAAATAATATTCGATTATGGAGACTAACGAATAATCACTGGCATCCCTACAACCTGCAGATACTTTTAGTATTGAGCTAAATGAAATGCAGGAGTTATTTGCAGGGTTTCTTTTGGTACTGAAAATCCTTAAACAAGTTCTGTAGACTGACAGGAAACATACGTTTGGTTGGTTATAACACAATATATTTAATGTGATGGAGTTCAATAATCGGTAAACAGTATGTGGCTTATACATGCATCTTGAAAAGGGCTTGAATATGACTTTGGATGAGGGTTAGGAGCTTGGATTTATAACGACACCAACAATCTTTTTCAGTTTCCTTAATTCTGTGTCTTTTTCCTCTGTAGTGCCCTTCTTTGGAGCAGTATGCCATGAGGGCGTTTGCTGATGCCATGGAGGTGATCCCCATGGCGCTGGCCGAGAACAGCGGGTACAACCCCATCCAGACCATGACAGAGGTCCGCGCCCGACAGGTCAAAGAGAACAACCCCTTCCTCGGCATCGACTGTCTGCGCAAAAACACCAATGGTGAGGGAGCAGGACTTGTAGTGATCCCACTCTTAGGGGTCACCTATTATGCAAAATCCAAGTGTCTTTTATACATCAACATGTGTCTGAAAATGAGCTGATCAGATTTTGGCCACTTTATGATGTCATAACAATTTTTAGGCTTGTGTAACCATTAGCCAATCACCAACCAAGGTAACCCCCCTTTTTTAATGTGAAAGCAAGAGGATCTGATATGAATGTTTGTTTTCCTCCGCTCAGACATGAAGCAGCAGCATGTGGTGGAGACTCTGATCGGTAAGAAGCAGCAGATTTCTCTGGCCACGCAGGTCGTGAAGATGATCCTGAAGATCGACGACATCCGCGCCCCCGGAGAGACCGAGGACTGAAGGCTTCCTGGAACTCTTTCCACTAGGCACTTCCCCGAGCTCCATGTCCAAACCGCACTGCGTCTTGCTATTTATCATTTGATACAAAATGTTCAAGCTGTTCTAGTATCAGTCACCATTAAAATGTTGGTCCGTTGAAACATTTCCAGACTCTCCGGTATCTGATTTCAAGCCCACAATATGAACCTGGTAATTAAAGCTGTATTCCATGATGGGTGTGCATTACATGTCTTTATTTGTACACAGAAGGTCGGCAAACTGACGGATAAACCACGTACTAAATCACTTTTTATTCTTGCATTCTTAAACTGATGGAAAATATTGCATTCATACCATTTTGGGACAAGTCAAAAGTGCTGTGGTACTAATGTTAGGGCCATTGGCGGTTAATGAAAAATACAAAGGCACAAAACGGGAGACGATTACTTTTGATTAAAGTTATAAATTGAAGAGAATAACTTTGTGTTGAACCTACAGACTTTAGGAAAAATAGTTTTAAGGCACTTGTGAATCATAATACCCATATTTTGATTATGTAATTACTAATGCATAAAGCTATAACCTGATCCAAATCACTGCCTCAGCTTTCACAGTTCCATACATCAACATTCAGACCTACAAAATAAAACACTTTAGAGATCAGCAAATAAACTAAATGTATAACATCACTCCTCTCTGCTCGCTGGCCAAGATATTTTTATTTTGTTACAATAATGAACAGACTAACAATATGAAAGCAGACGGGGTCATCCTGGGTAAAAATAAATGCTTACTATGTCGTAGAAAATATTATACATACATCTATACACATTTATCTCCTTAGATGCTCCAGTATGTGCATACCTTGTGGATACATATTTAGCATGTAGGGCTAACAGGCAGGGTTACATCACACTATCAGGGTCTTTGGGCCACTTTGTCCATGATTGACCTTTTTAAATTCTGGGTGACACCTGCTCCTTTGGTCCTGACTTAGTTCACATGTACTTGTTGAGCCAGTCGAGCATGTCGCCTCTGGCCTCCAGGATTTGGGGTTTGTCCTCAGGGTTGATGTCTTCTCTCTTTCTGTGGACGAAGCCGTGCGTCTGACCCGGGAAGATCTTCACCTGGTGATCCACCGTGCACTTCTCCTTCAGCTTCGCTTCAAGCACACTCACCTGAGGAGAGAAGGGATGCAAGCACAGGTTCTAAATGTGGTTATACAGCAGAGATTCTTGCTTTATAAAGTAAAGATATCTACCGTACTTTATATTGAATTTGCCTCTGATTTGATGCTACATAGGGTTGCAAAGGGGAGGAACATTTCTGGAAAGTTTCCATGGGAAGTTAAGCTGGGGAATTTGGGAAATATTCGATGCAAAATTAAACAAATGTTCTTTTTTTTTTAAGTAGAACAGAACAAGTTTTAATTATTTTATTGAACAATTATTTGTTTCATTGAAAGACGAAAACAGGAATGTTGAGTTAAATATTACTCATCCCCCCCAACCCCACTCATTCAAAAAAAATGAACAAAAATGCACCCCCCCCCATCCAAAAACCCCCACAAAGTCCCATTCAAAATGTTTAATAAAAAGAGCCCTTCTCCCTCCAAAAATCACATTAAACATGCAAATCTTCCTTCAAGCAATCCTCTGCATTTTGGCTAAACCCTTACAGTCAATGAGCTCTTCCTGGGCCTCATCAACATCCTCAGTGTCACTGTCCAGCCTTGTTGAGGATGGCTCTGTGTCAGGCTCAAAGAGCCTTAGGTTTGCCCGAATGCCAACCAGTTGTTCCACTCTCACATTTGTGAGCCTGTTGCGAAACCTTTGTGTGGTCTCAATAGCCATGCAGTAAGCAGTGTGCATGGATATTCAAGTGTACTTGAATGGCATCTGTTTGTTTTAGTCAAGATTATGCTAAAATGTACTTTCCCCAACTATATTTAATTTCCCTATGAAGAGCCAACCTTCAATTTAGAACATTCCCAGATAATTCCCGTGGAAAGTTTCCATCTTTGAAAATTCCCGGAATTTTGCAGCCCTAATGCTACAGTACCAGAATGAATAACCAGCAGAGAGGGCAAAAGTACACACATCCTTTGCTCAAGTAGAAGTAAAAAAAGTTTTTAAAAACTCTGGTAAAAGTAGAAGTACTGACTAAACTTCTTTACTCAAGTAAAAGGTACCCATAACTTTGTGTCCTTGGGAAAGATACTTCACCCTAATTTGCTGTATTCACTGTTCCATGTCTGATATGTATAATATGTAATGGAAAGAGCTTTGAGCATTTGGAAAAGTGCTCTAATAACTGTAATGAAACGCAGATTAAAACTAAAGTAAAAGTATAGGTATTTGTGTTCAAAATGTAAGAAAGAAAAGTAAAAAGTAAGTATTTAAACTCCACTACTTCCCACCTCTGATAACCAGAATAACATCAGTATTGTCCTAAAACAAGACTAACATTATTATATTTTACACGTTAAAAAGTATATTCATAAAGTTCCTAAACCTGGTCCAGTGGGATAACGTGATCGTTCTCTGCGAAGATGAAGAGCGTGGGAAACTTCAGATCGTACCGGTCCTCTCTTTCCCGGACGATCCCTGCAGTGTCACATGATCCATTAAAACAGATCATTATCATGAACCAACACAATATTTTTAAAATCACATTGTGTGAAATGTAGAGACTTTATGGACTTTAAAACCACACAATTATTGCAAATGATTGAGTACACAATAGGATGCAACAAAGATGTGTACATTTTTGAATCTTTGAAAATGAAGCACACATGTAAAAGTGAAGAATGAACAGAATTGTGATATACATTTTGTTTGGGACTTTTAGGAATATATAATACATCCATGTTCAGTGTGTGAATCTAAAAGGAATTGTAAAAAATAATGAATGTCAAAATGCTAGGATCAACAGGCAATCACCTTTATCAGTTAGTGTAACTTGCTTTGGTTTGTCACTCCTTCAAAAGTAATTACAAATTATCTTTTATATGTTTATTTGAGTTATATCAAATCGCAAATCAACTAAACTAATGCAATCTGTAAACCGCAATCAAACTGTAATGTGTTTTTATGAACAAGGGTTGCATATAAATGACAGTTTAATGGTAATTAGGAGGAGCAAATGTTTCCACATGGGGACATGTACATTGATTTAAATGAATAGAACACGAGCGTTGACTTACCGTAGACGGACACTCCAGCTTTGAGCTCTGGGTACTTTAGAGCGAGGTGATGAGTGGAGGACCCCCCCCAGCAGAAACCCACCGCTCCGATGTGTTTGGCCCCACACTTCTCCTTCAGGAACCGCAGCACTGCATCCACCTCTCTGAGAAGGAACCATGAGGACCGAGATGTAATAAAACGATTGCATACAAGAAAAAAAAGCATTGAATGCACTCGATGAAACACTAGAATAGGAATAACTGGCACAGTTTAGTGTCTTGATTTCCATGTCATGTCTCCTCCATAATGAGTGCAAAGGGGGGGAAATGTTATAAAACCATGTGGAATAAAAGTAGACAAGGTGATAATAAGCTTTGAGTTTACTTGTTAATGTTGGTTGGATTTTTTTCTTCAAACCACTCCTGAAATTTGGACCAGTCATTGGAAGGACTCCACGGCTCCTTCCCAACGAAAAGGTCAGGACACACAGCACTGCAGGAGAAAACAAAGACAGAAGCGTGAGAACATGTTTAACTGTCCTGTACTTTTACTCAGAAATGACTCACTCTTTTTTTATATTGTACATTATATTGATTATACTCACATGCAGAGCTGGCAAAAGTACACACATCCTTTACTCAAGTAGAAGTACAGATACTGGTGTTTAAAAATACTCTGGTAAAAGTAGAAGTACTGATTAAACTCCTTTAATCAAGTAAAAGTAAAGAGGCTTTGAAATGTACTTCAGTAAAAAGTACCCATAACTAGCAGCTGTTTTAAAGAGTACCTGACCTCCCTTTATATTAATAGAACAATAATGTCATTGTTAGCTAATGAATGTTTCCATGCTGAACAACGGCAACATGACAACGTTTTCATTGGTCCCTCTTCTTTAGAGAAGACCAGGAAATGATGGATACACGGATCGTGTTCAAATCAATAGGCACGCAATGACTCTAAATAATAATGATCAAGCCACCAAACACACATTCAAACTAAAGGAACCAGCCTGTTTGGAAAATGTGAGAAGTAGAAAGTACAGGTATTTGTGTTCAACATGTAAGAAGTAGAAAGTACAGGTATTTGTGTTCAACATGTAAGAAGTAGAAAGTACAGGTATTTGTG